TGTCTTCCCCTCTTTTCCTCGTCTTCTCTCCTCCCCTCTCTCTTCCCTCCCCCTCTCTCTTCCCTCCCCCTCTCTCTTCCCTCCCCCCTCTCTCTCCCTCGCATATGTCTCACCATTACCCGTCAACATCCACCTTTCAGTCGACAAGCTGTCGGCCCGCAAGAGCGGCAACTCCTCGGATCCGGCGTCTACCTTCCTGGAGATCCTGGACCCGGAGCAGAATTACAACTTCGTGGACAACTACCTGGACTTCCCGATTGACCTGAGCGATGTCCTTTTCGTGTGCACAGCCAATGCCAAGAACGAGATCCCCCTGCCCTTGCTGGATCGCATGGAGGTGATCGATGTCAGTGGGTACACCCCGAGCGAGAAGCGTGCCATTGCCGAGCGCTATCTCATCCCCACGTCCATCAAGGCCACCGGGTTGACGGATTACCGGATTTCCTTCGATCCGCGCGCTCTGAGCTCCCTGGCCGATGAGTGGTCCAAGGAGGCCGGTGTCCGGTCGCTCAAGAAGTCCGTCGACCGGCTGATGCAGGCCCTGGCCTATGACATTGTCCTGGAGGAGCGCCCGGTCGACCAGGAAATCCGTCTGACCAAGCCGGACCTGGAGCGCCTCCTTGGCCCGTCGCCTCATGGCGATGCGCGCATCTACACCTCCGACAGTGGGTTCCTGCCGCCGGGTGTGGTCCAGGTTCTTGCCTACACCCAGATTGGTGGATCCTTCCTCTTTGTCGAGGCCCTGGCCCTGGAGCAGATCCCGGAGGAGAAGGTCTCCTCCACCGGAGCCATCATCAATGATGAGGGTGTTACCCCGGCCACGCCGCCCGGCCGGCCGGCCCTGCCGGAGCGCGTGACCACCACCCTCCAGGAAACCGGCCACCTGGGCAAGATCATCAAGGAGAGCACGGCCCTGGCGCTGACCTTCGCTCGCCACTATGTGGCCACCCACTACCCGGAGAACAACTTCTTCCGCCGGACCCCGAACATCCATCTGCACATGCCGGAGGCCGCCATCTACAAGGATGGCCCGAGCGCTGGCATCACCTTTGCCACGTCGCTGGTGGGCCTGGCCCTCGGCCGGGGTGCTCGCTGCGATGTGGCCATGACCGGCGAGCTGTCGCTGGGTGGCAAGCTCCTGGCCATCGGCGGTGTCAAGGAGAAGATTGTGGCCGCCCATCGGCTGAATGTTCGGTGTGTTGTTCTCCCGGAGGCCAACCGTCCGGATTGGGATAAGCTTGATGATTCGCTCAAGGCCGGGGTGTCGCCCATCTTCGCCAACAGCTTCCAGGATGCCTTCCCGTACATTTTCGGCGACCTGCCCCTGCCGGAGCCGGAGATCCCGGCCGCTCCGGCTCTTGACTAAGGAGGAGGACCGACACGAGAGGAAAGGGAAGACGATGATGACGCACCTCCAGGCGTGACTCGATTCCTGTGATCCCCCCCCCCCCTTTCTTCCCAAGGACATGGAGCAGGCTCACGCCTGATGCTGTCCCTTTCATGGTGAACGTCCAGGGGGACGGGGAGCTCCCATCGGCCATGCGTTAGTATCTCTTCCATGCCCCCCTCCGGCCACTGCCCTTCTTTTCCGCCGCCGGATCCCCCCCTCTCTCTCTCTCTCCCTCCACGCCCTCCCCGGCGCGCACCCTGATAAATGGCGCACAAGCCTGCGCGTGTGTAAGCATGCACACGTGCGTCCTTCTCCTCTTGACCTGGACATCTACCATGGGGATGTCCCCTGTGTCCCCCTCCTCCATCTCTTCTCCTCCCCTAAATGGTACAATCCTCCATCCCACCTCATTTCCCTCTTGTGGAGGTACACTTGATCAATAATAAATACACTTGCATAGACACAAGCCAGGCAGGCAGACAGGCCAATGGAGGGAGGAAGAGTCTATTGCGATCGCGGGATGGGCCCACATGTAGGAAGGCGAAAAGGGAAATGCTCTTTTGGAGAGCTCTCAGCTCGGCAGAGAAGGCGCACCGTGGAGATGCCGCGCATTCTGCCAGACACAAAAAAAGAGGCCAGACAAGGAAAGAGGGGGAGGGCAGGGGATGGGGATGGAAAAAGCAAGTCACCCACACAGCGGGGACGGCCGGAGGGGATTGATGGGGGGGGGGGGGACACTCACCGAGGAGGTTCTCCCCTAGTCGAAGCGAACAAGCATGCGGTTGAGCATGGCCACATCCGTGACAAGGTCCGCGAAGTAGTGGTCCCGGACCAACTGGCCGACTGACTCGTAGGACCGGACGCGCTTCAGGAAGCTGGCCAGGGCCGAGCGCTCACCCGCATCTTGGCGTCGACGCTCGGGGTCCCCACGCCGAGGAGCGTACTTCACGCTGTTCAGCAGCTTATCGGCCAGGTAGTAGACCCAGTAGACATTGGTGGCCGGCACATGGGCTGCCCACTCGTTGTCTGTCAGCTGGCGCATTTTGCGGTATACATCGAATTGATAGTCGCCTGGGAAAGAGAGGAGAAAGATAGAGACAGAGAGGGGGGGGGGGAGAAATGAAGGGCACTGATGGTCAGCGTGGCCAGCGAGCGAGCAGAAGTGAAGATGGGAAGAAGTGAAGATGGGAAGAGGAAAATGGGGGGGGGAGGAGGTAGCACAGAGGCCGCCGGGAGAGGGACGGGGAGTAGGAGAGCACACGCACCACGACCCTCGAAGTAGGACTCATCATCGAGCTGCACGAAGAGGAGCTCATCCTTGTGGAACATGCGCGACAGGGTGTAATCGATGATGGTCGCCCGGACGCCATGGTTCTCGATGGACACCAGGTTGCCATCCAACATGAAGGGAGCCGAGTCGACGTCACTGCTGAGGATCGGCAGTGAGGGCCGGCGCCCGGCCGGCGTCGATGCCGTCACCAGGACATTGCCCCAGTGGAGGTCACGATGCTCAAACTGATGCGAGGCCTCCACCGAAGCCAGGGACAGGCAGATTTGGAAGAGGATCGACCGAGCAGCCACGCGCGAGGGGAGAATGCAGTGCTCGAGATCGGTCCCGCCGTGTTCGAGCACAATCACCGCGAAGAGTTGCGATGCGGGCAGACCGGCGGGCGAGGGATTGACGGCGCGCGCCGGCTCAGCCGTCCGGAAGGCATTCCACGCGGTCAGGAGCTCCGTCGGGAAGGGACCATGGCAGATGCCGGCCCCGAGGAGACGCACGAAGGAAGAGGTGTAAATCCGGCGCTCCCGACCGGACCCGGGCGACACCGGGCCCTGGAGAGCGGCATCCGCCACAAAGGCCCCGGCATCCGGATGTCCGGCCGGCAGGCAATCGGTACAAGCGAAGTGCGCCGCCCGGCCAGCAGCCCCTCCGGTGGGACTGCCACCCTGGCGCAAGGTGCCCAGGCCGGAAAGCTGCTGGGTGATGCGGATTTCCTGGTACACCTCATTGGCCGAGAGCCCCTCGCCCTCCGTGCCGGACAAGGAGCCGACGTTGAAGGGCACGATCTTCAGGACAACCCCGGCTGGGGGAGGCCGCGGGGCCACACCGCTCCCGGTACAGGCACTGCCCTTCGGGCCAGCACACGGGACATCGCACGCCAGCGAGAAGACCTCAGCAAAGGTGCTCTCGCCGATCTTGGTACACCGGCCAAGGGCATTTGCACCAATCACCGAACTGAAGGACACCGGCCGCGACTGGGCGCAAAGGGCCAGCAGTTCCGACAGCGACCGCAGGTCCGCCGTCGCTGCCGGGCCCTCCTGCTGGGTCGACGGGTCCGGGAAGAATGCCGGGCGCGGAGAGCGCATAAAGCTCGCCGGAGCCGGGGACGCGACCACCGGATTCAGGATCGGCGGCAAAGCGGGCGAAAGCTGCTGCTGCTGCTGCTGCTGCTGCTGCTGCTGCTGCTGCTGCTTCCCACTCCCGAGGGCCAGGGCCGGGGCCAGAGCCGAGGTGGAATGCTCGTCGTCGGCGGCCAGCATCGATGCCAACTGGCTTTGCTGGCGCCGAACCTCGGCCGAGTACTCGCTCTTCACAATGTGCCCCAGATCCAGGTTGGCCAAATCCGTGGGAACCGAGGCCGACCGGATGAAGGTCGGCGACATGATCGGCACCGCGGCCGCCGCTGGTGCGGCCGCCGACGCCGCCGGCGCCAGATCCGGAGCCGGCGCCGCCGGCGCCGCCTGGACCAACTGGTGCAGATTGTCCACACTGCTGTCCACCAGGAACCCCTGGCGATGGGCCTGGGTCACGGCGGTGAGGTTCCGCCGGGACTCGGCCTCGGAGGCGGCGGAGGCCCGCTCGGCAGCCAGCTGTGCCTCGGCATTGCGCTTCTCCAGCAGCTGGCGCATGCGGCTGTTGCCGGTGACCGCGGACGCGGGGCCGGGCTCCTTGCTGCCCTGTGGCAGGACCTGCTGCTGCTGCTGCTGCTGCTGCTGCTGCTGCTGCTGCTGCTGCTGCCGCTCGGTGGCCATGCTGGGCAGCGCCTCCGAATAGGAAGCGGCCCCTGGCTCCGGACCCAAGAGCGGGAAGGAGGACTGTGAAACCATGGCCGGTGCCGAGGCGCCCGAGGCCTTGGCCTCGGTGGTGGTCGCCGGCTTGTGGCTGGACCAGGGGAAGCGGAAGCGCGACCGCTTGCTGGCCGCGGCTCCGCCATCGGCGCGCTTCTTGTCGACCGGCGCCGCCAGCATCGGCGGCTCGACATCCATCGGCGATGGGCAATCCAGCATCAGGGCATCCGCCAGCGACAGAAGTGGCGACTGGCTGGTGCCCGGAGTCCCAGCACCCGGGGCCGGCGCCAGCATCAACCCCTCGGGATGGTGGCCATCATCACCCGGGTGGTGGCCACCAGGCTGATGATGAAGGTGATGATCGTGGGCATAGGAGCCCGGCTCCACCGAGTGGTGGTACGTGGCCATGCTGTCTTCCAGATACCGGTCCATGGCCGACTGCGAGGAGAGGGCCGTCGACATGAGGTAGTCCGACGAATCGGTGTCCATGAGCGAGCTGCCGCCGGTGCTGCCCAGCAGGTCGGATGACGCATCATCCTGCTGCGCCAGCGGGTGTGGCCCAGCACGATTCGGGCCCTTGCCCGGCGGCGGGCCATTGGCCCACGGGCCGACAGCCGACTCGGGGCGGGCACCGGGGCCGGCCGGGACCGTGTCGAAATTCAAAGGTGCCAGGATGTCCAGCTGGCCGGGCAAAATCATGGACTGCCGGCGCGAGGGGCCCGGACTGGCGGCCAACAGCAGGGCCTCCGACAGGGAAATCAACTGGCTGCTGTCGGTGCTTCGGAGAGTCCCAGACCCGGAGGGGGCCAGCTCCAAGGGCCGAGGAGCGATGGGGGCCCACTCGCCGGAGGGGCTGCGCGCGGCGGCCACACTCCCAACCGAGCCGCCACCCACGCGAGCCCCATTGCTCGGGGACCCGGTGAGCGAGGGGACCGCCGACCGACGAAGCTCCTCCACACTGAGCTTCAATGCCTCCTCGAAGCTCAACAGCACACCGGATGATGCCCGACGAATGCGGACATCATCCACGGGCCCCTCGAGATGGAAGCCGGCCCCTTCCCCGGCAGCCGGCAGGTCGGTCCCCGAGGGAACCGGCGACAGGCGCCCGGCAAAGAGAATCTCCTGCAGGGACAGGAGCTCGCGGCTGTGATCCCGCGGCAGGTGCTCCGCCGAGAGGGACAGGGCTTCGGCAAAGTCGGCCGAGCGCGACGCCTGGATCGAGTCCTCCAACTCCTCGGCCAGCAGCCGCCGGCCTCGGCGCCAGGCAAACAGCCGCAGGGCCGAGTACAGAGTCCACACGGTCCGGTCGACACCGGCCCCGGTGACAATGGCCTCGGTCAACGAGTCGCCAGTGGCCAGGGGGTCGAACTCCTCCTGGCTGGAAGTGGCAGAGGCATCGGTGGCCGTCAAGTCGATGGGGTGAAGCTGCTCCGACCCCGGGGCCGAGGGAGCGTCGTCGGAAGCGGTCGCCGGCCCGCCAGGCGACTCGGCGCCCAGCCGATGGGCGGCCAGTAGCTCGCGCTCGCGGCGGCGCTGCTGCCGCCGATCCTCATTCTGTGCCAAATACTGGCGCTGCTGCTGGTCAACCACAATCGACAACGCATCGCCGATGGTCAGAAGCTGGATATCCGAGTGCTCCTGCGAGGGGTTTTCCACCGCAATACGAAGGGCCTCGCGCAGGGACAGGAGCTCGCGCGCCTGGATCTCGGCCTCGGCGGCCGCTTCCGGCGACATGTGGTCCCCATCCCCGGCGCCCAGCTTCAGGGGGATTTCCATGATCGAGTCCTGCGTCGACAGGAGCGGGTCCGTCTGATCGAAGGACGACTCGTCGGTGTGGTGGGACAGACTGTGCATGTCGGTCGAGCCCGGGACCGAGGAGGGGTCTTGGTGGCCTGCTTGGGGGAGGATCTCCAAGACGGGACCGGCCGCCAAGGGCAATGTCGAGATCGGGGCCAACGCCGGGGGGGCCGCCAGGGTGGGGTCCGAAATCGGAGCCAGGCCCGGAGTCGACCCGGACCCGGAGGAGGACCGATGAGAGCCAGTCGCATGCGGGCCACGACCAGCGTCACCGCCACTGCCACGCTGCTTGCCATGGCCGTGGCTGGAGCCGGTGGCCATGCGCCAGATCCGCGAAAAGTAGCCCGCGGAGCTGGCACTGTGGCTTGAGCTGGCGGTCGAGACAAGCTCGTCATCGGAAGAGTCATCAACCGGCCCCATGCCGAGGGCCTCCTCCAGGGACATGACGGGCTCCGGCCGGAAGTCGAAGACCAGGCCGGTGTCACTGCGCAGGGCGGCACCCTCGGCCGAGGGGGCCGCCGGCGTGGCGGAGCCCTTGCCCCGGCGACTGCCACGCAGGCGACTGGGCCGGCGCTGGGGCTTGGCCGCTTGCCGGCGCTCGCGCGTTTCGCGCTCCTGCTGCTGCTGCTTGAGGACAATGGCATTGAGGGCCTCCTCGAAGCTGAATTCATCCTCGGACTCCGGGTCACCAGGACGCCGGGTGGCGGGGGAGGTCGGGCGCAGGGGCGCCGGCTGGGCCACCCCGGCCGGGGCCACGGCCCGAGCAAAGTGACTCAACGCCGAGAAGGAGGATGACCGGGTGAGGGTTTCCGACCCGCCGCCAACCGGGGCATTCGGCAAGACGACGCTGCCACGCGGACGCAGGGCTGACAAGCCCGGGCCCGGGCCCGGGCCCGGACCCGGGCCCAGCGAGTCACTCGAGGCACTGGCACTGGCCGGCTGGCTGGCAAGATTGATTCCGAAGCTGCTGGCCGGGATCCGGTCCTCGGGGCCGGCGGCCTCCGGGTGGTCCTCCCCCCCATCGGAAAGGAGGGTGCCCTGGCCATGGTCCGGCCCGGTGGCCAGAAGCAGCGACACCGGAGACGAGTGGGATACCTCCAGCAGGGAGGACAGCGGCAAGGCCGAGGCACGACGTGGGCCACCGACAGCCGGTCCGGCGGGAGCCGGCCGCCGGCGCGAAGCACTCGGCGTGCCGAAGGCGGTCTTCATGCTGCCGGAGGTGGGTTGAGGATGGATTTCGACGATGCGCCCGGCCGACACGGCCAGATGCGGATTGCGCAGGGCCGCCGCCGGCGACAGGGGCGCCGACAGGGAGGGGGCATTCAGTGTCGGCGAGGTGAGGGCCAAGCCGCCGCCGGTGGCCAAGTCCACGCGCACCCCACGCGGAGACATGGCTGCTCCGGGCGAGTGGGGAGCCATCAGCGGGGAGGACGCCGCACCGGCCAGGGCCACCGAGCTGCTCAGGCGCCGGACCATGGGCGATGAGGCGAGGACAATGCGCCGGCGATCGGCCAGTTGCCCGGGGCTCAATGATGCCGGCAGCAGGCCGGCCAGCAGGAGCTGCTGCAGATGCGCGTCATCCGGAGACCCGGCCGCCGTGGCCCGGGAGCCCGGCTGCGATGGCAGGAAGGACTGCTGATGGGCGCGTGAGGCCACCGCCGGCGGTGGGGTCGACGGCCCCGCCAGGTCCATGACCTCATCGGAGTCGGAGCCGCTGTCCGACTCGCCGTCCGACTCGCCATCTGACAGGCCACTGTCCGAGGAGATGTCCGAGTCCGAGTCCTCGTAGCTGCTGCTGCTGGGGGAGTCGGTGCTGCGGTTGCTGCGACTGGTCATCAGGGAGTCCAGCGAGTCGGCCGAAGCGCTCCGGTGCAGGTCCACACCGGTCAGGGCCGCGGCGCCGCGAAAGGCCCCGGCGCCGAAGCTGGAGGCCGGCGACCGGGATGCATCGCCGGCCGAGATGCCCGCACGTCGTGGGGTCCAGAGCGACGCATTGCCAGTCGGGGCGGACTGATTAAAGTAGGCCACCGTGCGCGGGCCACGACGGCTGTATGTGACGAGAGTGCTCTTGGTCGGGGCCGCCATGGTCTTTGGGATGTCGGCCGTGGGAGGACAGAGCATGGGGGAGCGGCAAGGAGGGCGGGGGGGGG